CCTCTGCGTCCTCCTCTTCATCCTCCTCTTCGTCCTCCTCTTCGTCCTCCTCCCTTCTAATAATGACTTCATCAAAGTGAGGTCTTACTCCTTCATGTCCTGCCTCTAGCCTTGTTGTTCCAGGTCCTTTTTAGTTGAACTTCTAACACTTGAATTCTTTGTTGTGTGTGGCCTATGTTGTGAAGGGGAGTGGTTACCACGACTACTACTTCAAGACCATTGCCTCGACTCATTTGCGTTTCCAGCTTGCACCAATGGCCTGGTGTCCTGCTTTGTCTTAATTTAAAGTTTCTATTCGTTCTTTCCCTCGGTACCTTGTATGTAGTGATTATATCTATTGTTCCTACTTTCCTCATAGGTTGTGATGCTTAGTTCCCTTATCCTATCCATGTAGTTTATTCCTCCAAGCACTAGTCATTTACATAAATTCGGAACAACATTGGTCCCAAGAGCAAGCATTGAGGGTCCCCCTAGCACGATACCTCATGAGTGTGAATTTGTGTTCTGTCCTTCAGGTGCTCTAGTATTCAGGTCAGTATTTTCCTAGTTATTCTAGCTTGTCTCCAAGCCTTGTATACCATCTTTGACGACGACGTGTCAAATGCTTCTTGACAGTCACGTAAGATATTGTCTTTTTAGCCTTCTTGTTTCGCCTGTTGAATTCTGGTGTTATCAGAGGTTGTATACATAACGCCTGCAGTTGTATTCATGACACATATCTCACTCCTGGAGTTGTATTCATAACCCACCCCCTTCCGACTGTGGCCCACCCCTCCCCGACCGTGGCCCACCCCTTCCGACCGTGGCCCACCTACTTCGGACCGTGGCCCACCCCTCCCCGACCGTGGCCCACCCCTCCCGACCGTGGCCCACCCCTCCCCGACCGTGGCCCACCCCTCCCAGCTAATGCTCTCGTATATTTCGGCCGTATATTTCAGCTGGTAAAGCGCGAACAGGCAACCAGTTTGGGCAGGGATGCCAGTGGTCATTAAACATGAAACATTTTCAGCAATATGGCGGTTATGGAGGTTAATGCCATTTAATGTTTTGCGTAATGGCATTAACCTTATGGTCTACTGGTGGGTAGCGACGGATCGCAGTAATGCGGGGACCAGAGAGCCGCATCCACCTCAGAGGAGAGGAGGGGGGAGGGGGATGTTAAAATATTGTATCCCTGATAGAATTTTACAAAAAAAAAAAACCATTTCAATAAAATGAGGTTGCGGGTTTAAAGACGATGATATATGAGCTAGGTTGTTGTGACTCATCGTGAGGTAATGTGGTCTTGACTTTGGTTAATGGCCATTGACGGGAAGACCCAGGAAAGACAGGCGGCAGGACGGGAAGGGCCAGGGTGCGACTGGACAGGAAGGTCCAGGGTGTGACAGGACAGGAAGGCCCAGGGTGTGACAGGACAGGAAGGCCCAGGGTGTGACAGGACAGGAAGGTCCAGGGTGCGACTGGACAGGAAGGCCCAGGGTGTGACAGGACAGGAAGGCCCAGGGTGCGACAGGACAGGAAGGCCCAGGGTGTGACAGGACAGGAAGGTCCAGGGTGCGACTGGACAGGAAGGCCCAGGGTGTGACAGGACAGGAAGGTCCAGGGTGTGACAGGACAGGAAGGTCCAGGGTGCGACAGGACAGGAAGGTCCAGGGTGCGACAGGACAGGAAGGTCCAGGGTGCGACAGGACAGGAAGGTCCAGGGTGTGACAGGACAGGAAGGTCCAGGGTGCGACAGGACAGGAAGGTCCAGGGTGCGACAGGACAGGAAGGCCCAGGATGCGACAGGACGGGAAGGTCCAGGGTGCGACAGGACAGGAAGGTCCAGGGTGTGACAGGACGGGAAGGTCCAGGGTGCGACAGGACAGGAAGGTCCAGGGTGTGACAGGTCAGGAAGGTCCAGGGTGTGACAGGACAGGAAGGCCCAGGGTGTGACAGGACAGGAAGGCCCAGGGTGTGACAGGACAGGAAGGCCCAGGATGTGACAGGACAGGAAGGCCCAGGGTGTGACAGGACAGGAAGGCCCAGGGTGTGACAGGACGGGAAGGCCCAGGGTGTGACAGGACAGGAAGGTCCAGGGTGTGACAGGACAGGAAGGTCCAGGGTGTGACAGGACAGGAAGGCCCAGGGTGTGACAGGACAGGAAGGCCCAGGGTGTGACAGGACAGGAAGGCCCAGGGTGTGACAGGACAGGAAGGCCCAGGGTGTGACAGGAAAGGAAGGTCCAGGGTGTGACAGGACAGGAAGGCCCAGGATGCGACAGGACGGGAAGGTCCAGGGTGCGACAGGACAGGAAGGTCCAGGGTGTGACAGGACGGGAAGGGCCAGGGTGTGACAGGACGGGAAGGGCCAGGGTGCGACAGGACGGGAAGGGCCAGGGTGTGACAGGACAGGATGGCCCAGAGTGTGACAGGACAGGAAGGTCCAGGGTGCGACAGGACAGGAAGGCCCAGGGTGCGACAGGACAGGAAGGCCCAGGGTGTGACAGGACAGGAAGGCCCAGGGTGTGACAGGACAGGAAGGTCCAGGGTGCGACAGGACAGGAAGGTCCAGGGTGCGACAGGACAGGAAGGTCCAGGGTGCGACAGGACAGGAAGGCCCAGGGTGCGACAGGACGGGAAGGCCCAGGGTGCGACAGGACGGGAAGGTCTTAGAGCGACGGAAGGAAAAAATGGGACCATTGAGCAAGGACAGTTCCGGAGCAGGAAACACAGTCGCCAAGTGGGAACACCGCCAAGAGAAACTTGCGACCTTGGTGGATGTGTCGAGACGGCGGGAGGAGTAGGAGGAGGAGGAGAAGTAAGAAATGAGAAGTAGGAAGAGAAGGACGAGGTGGAACTGAAGTAGAAGTTGAAGACAAGGTAAAGGATGATGAGTGTAGGTCTCTCATTTTCCGGTAATCTGTGGCGTTTCGTGTTGCTTTCACCTTAGGTTTACTGGACATTGTTGCTGTGTCGTCACCACCAACAACACTACTACTAACGCTCAAAGACTTAGGCCACTACGGGCTCGCCATAGCCCGTGCTACTTGGAACTTTTGGTTCTAGGTAGCGAATCTTAAACAACAACTCAAAGACTGTGTTGGAAATACAACCAGTTTACCCAGTCAAATACCTTCCTTCCTATACTCACGAATCTGGGTAGGCTGTATTATAATACTTTACAGAAATCTTAAAGCTGTCCAGGACACAATTTGGACAGTTTGGTCACTTCGAGTGCTGTGCGTTTCACCAAGGCATTTTATTGATTTCCAGTTCTTAAAGGAATAGCTGTTTACACATACAGACATACACAAGGCTTTGTACAAACTCCTTCACATAGCGACATAAGGACCAGTTGACATACCATTATCTTCAGGGCGCCTGGATCACCGTCCCTCGAGTCTTTAGCGAGATCGCAAGATGAATTTAAACGAGTGTCAGCTTCCGTGGTATGATTGGTAAGGTGGGAAGAGAGTGAGTATAATGAGAGTCAGTGTGTGTGAGGGAATGAGTGAAGAGTGTACTAGAGATCTTTGTTACCAAGACATTACGCAAGACGAAGTTGCTCATACAATGGTGGAGAAGGAAAAATATAATCCTTAGATACAAATATAGTTCCAGAGACAGTAGTGTATACGACAAAATACCCGTGGTATGGTAGCCACGGTAAGGTGTTCCATTCTTGGATTAGCGAAAACCACTCAGCAACTGTGAGAGGTCGCAGTATGAGTACTGTAAGACCCTACTTGAGAAGGTTTACACAGCATGTAGGTTATTGAGAAGAGGAGGCATGGAAGCAGTAGAAGAAAGGAAGAAAGAGAGTGAACTTTCCAGCGGGAGACCAATGACTCTAGCTTTAAGATGAAGTCAATTTAACTTTTAATTGCACCAGGAATTTTGTCAAATTTCAGACACTGCCAGAGAGTGTATGTGTGTGAACTAATTCCTTATGCCACTCCTACAAGCTCTGTTGTACCTGTTGCGTTTTATTTCAACTTACCTGATGATTGAATTCTTTTCTTGTGGATTATATAACTTCTTTCAATCCATTCCACTGACTTGACTAATACTGGACACGATCTAGTATTTCCTGGCATTTCTTCGATTCATTTTCATGTTCCACCAATGTCCTCTAGTGTTATTTTCAATCTATTTTAAGGGGTTGTCCTTATCTGCATTGTCTATTTCCCCTGAGTATCTTGTATATACTGATCATGTTCTTTCTGCCCCATTTCTCCTCTAGAGCGGTAAGACTGGTTTCCCTTAACCATTCTTGTAGCTTAGTCAAAACACTACAAACCTTAGCAGTTTTTCAAGTTTCGTTTAGAACTCGAAGCTACAGAATCAAATTGAACTTACTAAGACATAACAAGGTTTTAATGGCTAGTTGGAGAGCAGAGCTGCAGACGACTCTCATTACTAGGAAGTGTCGCTGAAGGAATTACTGTGTTACATTTTAAATAGAGCAAGTAATTATGAGTAAAAATATTTGAGTATAAATGGGACCCGACTTCCTAAGGCCTGTATGATTTGCAAGTGGTCCATGGCAGTGTCTTGGTCCTATGCTGTGGTGGTTATGTGTAGTGGTGATGACAGTGGTTGATGGATGGAGCTTGGAGTTGGTGGTTGTAGTGGTGGCAGTTTATGAGTTGAGTGTTTGTTAAGTGATGTGGATGAATGATGGTGAAGTCCGCGATGTTGATATTAATGCAGGCGATGAGTCACAATAACGTGGCTGAAGTATGTTGACCAGACCACACACTAGAAGTTGAAGGGACGACGACGTTTCGGTCCGTCCTGGACCATTCTCAAGTCGATATTAATGATTGCAAGGGTTGACGGGTGGAAGGCGGTGTGGTGGATGTATAGTGATGGTAAGAGCCTTGATGTTGGTGATGGGTGGAGTTGGTAGTGATGATGGTGGCGGGCGTGGTAGGCGCTGCTGGTGGTAGTGGTGGAAGAGGCGGGTCAGTGTGTGCGCGCGAGGGGCCCAAGCCGGACCTCCGTCAGTGTTCTCTCTCTGGCCGGCGTGAGGCGCGGCTGCCAAGCTGCCTTCTCCTGTGAGAGACAGGCCAGGAACCCCCGAGTCAGGTGTCATCCACACCTACCTCCTCCCCCCCACACCCCTTCACCCCCCACCCGAAGACAACAACACCCGCAACACCTGAAAGCCTGTCACGTGGGCCCAACTATTAAGCCAAATATCTCCAGTGGCATTTGTGTTTGGGTAGTGGTCCCCCCCCCCAGTTACACCTGTTTATAGATAAGCCACCTGTCTTGAGTACCTCTTCTTCTACACCTGTACCTTATTTAGGCGATCTCTCAGCAGAGGTGACAGTAGACCATCATACCCCTGAACATCCCCACCTTTCCTGGACTTGCAAGGTTCCACACTCAAGTTCCAGTAAACTCTCCAGGTTCGCTGAGGGGAAGGTAGACGGCCGCCAGGGGACCATGAGAAGACTTACCGCTCTCCATGGTCGTCCGATAATGCCTTCTTCTCGCGGTTGTGTCACGCTACAAAAATAACTTTGTCTCCAAGATAACTTTTGATAAATCGTAGCACAGGAGAGTAAAATATTGTAAATATAAGAGGTGGAGAGTCGGGTCTGGTTGATGCAAGTAACCCGCACCAACTTCAGGACTCTCCACGCTGGTGAGGCGCGACCTGTTGGTGATCCAAGAGGACCTCCGGTAATACCATATTGACCCCACGACGTCTGACCCTAGTCATAGCGAGGGTCAGGACTCATCAACTACCTCAGCGAACACACACATGCATACTACTTCCGTAGACTACCAAGATCTGTTACTGTGGAAGTGGTATCACCACTCACATCCAATGTTTGTTTCATTATAATCCAAACAAAACCTGGCCTGAGGACTGACTCGGAACTGAGCTCGACGGTCATTCCTGTGGAAGTTGAAGGCGAGTCTGGCTCTCGATGTTTGCCAAACTGTCTCATCAACAAATCGCTGAGATATAATCTCGAGGAGGAGGAGGGTGTTCGGGGAGGGTGTCAGCCTGAAGTATGCGGGAAGCCAGTGAGGTCAAGGTCGACCACCGCCGCTCCTGCCCCGGAACGTGATAGACGAGAGCAAGTCACGCCATTCCTACCATCACCTGACCCTTCTTACCGTCTCGTATCCTGTCCTCCACATTTGTTGGCGTCTTCCTTATTCTCCGCCATTCCGACTCTGGGAATCAACGAGGCACTTATGTTCTCTCTACGCTCTCTACGCTGCTGTAACTCTTAAGTTGCTGCTACGACTGCTGTGTGGGTGTTTACTAATATCACTGTTGTCTCCTATTTGGCACCTCCTCTTCAGTCTTTTTTTTATTTGAGAATTACATTGTCTGCTCAAGATTTTTTCCTATCACACCTGTGACTCTTTCCGTTTAAACTTCTGTAACTATTGCATTCGGTCCTGTAATAGACTTTTGGCCCTGTCAAGGATCTTGTCATCGCTGTAATAGATCTTTGGCCTTGTCAAAGATATATAGCCGTCTCAAAGACCTTTCACACTGTAGAGGATCTTAGCCTCTTCATTATCATAGAATTATTTCCCAGACGCCTTTTCCTGGAGCGCTGATCTAATCTTTACGTCTAAAATCTACACCTTACCCTACAACACTTAGCCATTCCCTCATTGCAACCACTTTCCAAAATCCTTTCCGGTAGTCAGCCATTTTCCCTGGCTGCGTGTGGTCGCGAGTCCTCCTCCAATCTGGTTCTCAAGAACCTCACCCTCCACCTTGTCCTCTGCCTCATCCTCCTGCAGCACCGGAGCCATCATGAGTCGTGCAGCCCGCCCCTTCAACAGGTGCAAGAGTGCCACCTTCCACATTGACGGTGCCACCTACACCATAGGTGAGTGTCGTTCCTCGCCTCCTTCATTATATGTTGCTTTTCGATATTGCGAAATGTATATTTCGGTGTTATAGAGCAGAAGGGGGACTTTAATTTAATATTGTTTCCATTCCATCCACTCGTCCCATCCCAAATACTTATCCTGACCCCTTCTAAGTGCTGTGTAATGGCTTGGCGCTTTCTCGTGATTGTTCCATTCTTTGGCTTTCCGTGTGCACTAATCTGTTGAGCCATGAGTGTGACACAAGTGGGAAAGCTGTCGGCTCGGAGCGGCCTCCGGTGAATCCGCGCTGAACCTTAATTATTTTTAGTTTTGGTTTGGAACCTTAATTAATTTTTCTGTCGAAATTGGCAGTTTCAGTAGAAACCGCCGGACGGCCCACTGTGGAAACTGACGTACGACCGTCTGGATATGAACAAACTTATGCTGTCTTGAAAAATCTTTGATGGTTAAGAGGCGGACCCCAGAAACATGATCTGTCTCAACCACAGTCCATTAGCACTAACAAGAATCCTCTGAAACTCACTAAAAAGACTGATCCGAAGGAGTTGTTTACTCCTTTTCCTCTCTCTCTTTCCTTCTCACTATCTACCTTCCCGCCCTCTCCCACTCTCACTCTCCCTTCCCACACTCCCCATGCAAGTCTCAGCCCTTCACACACACACTGATAATCAATTTTGTATGACCTCGTCATGAATATTTATTCCCGTGGTGAAGAAGCAATTAGCCACTCTGGCCTAACCTCAGGTCTCACAAGCAACAACACCTACACTGGTCTATCTACAATGATGAACACAACATTGTAGAATAATAATGAGACGCCGTTGTGTTATTTGTAATCTTAACATTGCAGTGGAATATATAGTTTTAATGCACTGTTCGTGGTTTATATTTTTTGGGGGGTTGGTAGGATTTCCAGGAATTAAAACAGTCAACCGCATATATTTTTTTACTTCACGTGAACGCTGACAGTCGTTGGTTTATTTATTTTGTTGGGGATGGGGGAGGGGGGGGGTATGTGCTCTCATCAATTAATAATAAATATATTTGAAAATTGAATACACTGCACCGACAAAACTCATTCAAGGGAAAAATTTTGACATTTTTATGTTTGTTTTTGTTTATACAAGACAATTCCGGGGATAAAAGTCTGCTCTGATGGGATAGGAATTGATCGTATGACGCAAAGGAATGGTGTTGGCTGTGCTCCGGAGGGGCTTGACGGCCTCAGGCAAGCAGGGGCCAGATTCACGAAGCAGTTACGCAAGCACTTACGAATGTGTACATCTTTCCTCAATCTTTGATGGCTTTGGTTTCATTTATTAAACAGTTTACAAGCATGAAAACTTGCCAATCGACTGTTGTTATTGTTATAAACAGCCTCCTGGTGCTTCGGAGCTCATTCACTGTTTAATAATTGGAAACAAAGCCGCCAAAGATTGAGAAAAGATGTACAGGTTCGTAAGTGCTTGCGTAACTTCTTCGTGAATCTAGCCCCTGGTCTCGTGGGGAGGCGGCGGAGATCTTAGGTAGTTATCGGGCTGATGGAGCGCCCATTCTACCGTCTTGGAGGTGCTCGGGACGTCTCGGCTTGTGACGGATGGGTGCGGAACCTGGACACTTACATGACATGTGTGTGTGTGTGTGTGTGTGTGTGTGTGTGTGTGTGTGTGTGTGTGTGTGTGTATGTGTATGTGTGTGTGTGTGTATGTGTGTGTGTGTGTTTACTAGTTGTGTTTTTACGGGGGTTGAGCTTTGCTCTCTCGGCCCGCCTCTCAACTGTCAATCAACTGTTTACTAACTACTTTTTTTTTCCCACACCACACACACACACACACACCCCAGGAAGCAGCCCGTGACAGCTGACTAACTCTTAGTACCTATTTACTGCTAGGTAACAGGGGCATTCAGGGTGAAAGAAACTTTGCCCATTTGTTTCTGCCTCGTGCGGGAATCGAACCCGCGCCACAGAATTACGAGTCCTGCGCGCTATCCACCAGGCTACGAGGCCCCCCTGTGTGTGTGTGTGTGTGTGTGTGTGTGTGTATATGTGTGTGTACTAACCTAGTTTTACTCACCTAGTTGTGCTTGCATGGGTTGAGCACTGGCTCTTTGGTCCCGCCTCTCAACTGTCAATCAACTGGTGTACAGGTTCCTGAGCCTATTGGGCTTTATCATATCTACACTTGAAACTGTGTATGGGGTCAGCCTCCATTACATCACTTCCTAATACATTCCACTTGTTAACTACTATGACATTGAAAAAGTTCTTTCTAACGTCTCTGTGGCTCATTTGGGTACTCAGTTTCCACCTGTGTCCCCTTGTTCGCGTACCACCAGTGTTAAACAGTTTATCCTTATCTGCCCTGTCAATTCCTCTGAGAAGTGTGTGTGTGTGAGTGTGTGAAATTAAGTGTAATTACCTTAGTGTAGTTACAGGATGAGAGTTACGCTTGTGGTGTCCCGTCTTCCCAGTACTCTTTGTCGTATAACGCTTTGAAACTACTGACGGTTTTGGCCTCCACCACCTTCTCACTTAGCTTGTTCCAACTATCTACTACTCTGCAGGTGATGAGTCCCAATAACGTGGCTAAAGTAAGTTGACCAGACCACACACTAGAAGGTGAAGGGACGACGACGTTTCGGTCCGTCCTGGACCATTCTCAAGTCGAAACGTCGTCGTCCCTTCACCTTCTAGTGTGTGGTCTGGTCAATATCTACTACTCTGCAAAAGAAAATTGTTAAATATCTTTTCGACAACTCTGTTATCTTAGCTTGAATCTGTGTTCTTTTGTTCGTGAAGTTGCTGGTTTCAGGAATTCCTCTTTGCCAATTTGGTCTTTTCCTGTTAGTATTTTGTAAATGGTGATCATATCACCTCTCTATCTTCTAGTTTTGGCATGTTTAAGGCCTCTATTCTCTCGTAACTCTTTATTTTTCAGTTCCCGAATCCATTTTGTGTCACGTCGCTGCACAGTTTCCAGTTTATTTATGTGCTGTTTGATATTTGGGCACCATACACGTTGTGGGTAGGTCACTGAGTAAGCTGTGACGTGGGCTGGTCACTGGGTATAGGCTGTGACAGTGTGGGTAGGTCACTGGGTAGGCTGTGACGTGGGCTGGTCACTGGTTAGACTGTGACGTTGTGAGCAGGTCACTGGGTAGGCTGTAACACACTGCCACTTAGACAACTGTCGTATGTTTTATGTTAGTGTAGATCAAGGGTGATGTACTAGTGCAGGCCGTGCCTAGTAACGCAGCCGGAATCTTGTTGGAAGATGAATTTACGGTGCGCAGGCTGTGCTTGAGAGCCAATTTACTAAGCGATATCGATTTTTTGGTCACCTGACACTTCCTCTAATTAGTGGAGGGATAAGTAAGAACTTCACTCATAATATTGGTTAGTTTTTAGTTATTAGTTAGTATTGGTAAGTATTAGTTAGTGGTGGTGGGGTTCCCGTCTCTCTCTCTCTCTCTCTCTCTCTCTCTCTCTCTCTCTCTCTCTCTCTCTCTCTCTCTCTCTCTCTCTCTCTCTCTCTCTCTCTCTCTCTCTCTCTCGTGCAACATGACCCTGATAAGATAACAGCATCCTGGAAACAGAATCTTTCCTTGGTGAGATAATTGTGTGTGGTTCTAAAAGTGCCACCGGCGACATGTTCAGTCTTCACCTTGGTGTCGCTGCCTCCGTCACCGCTACATTTGTCCTGACTTTCTGCACCAGAATACATGAGGAGAAGAGAATATTCAACACATGATCGGGGAGTTTCTGCAGGGTCTTCACGGAATGCGTTTTATTCTCTTCCACGAGGCTAGGGGACCCAAAATGACCCCCGAAGGTGTTACCTCTGCGAGAGAGGGGAAATAGGTCTCCAATTATTTTGATTAATAATTTACTCGAACGTTTCAGATTTAAAATTGGGTAAATATTGAGCGAATTTACCGAAAGCAAAATATTGCATTTTATAATGAAGGTAATTTGATTTCTGTCATTTTAATAGTTTGGAAAATTTATAACGTAGTCATTAAATTTCTCATTATTGTCATAAAAGGTTATTAATCTCTGGTTAAATGGAATTCTATTGTGATTATGAGATTCCTGGTGTTATGTCAACATGGTATTAGTGTGTGTGTGTGTGTGTGTGTGTGTACTCACCTAATTGTACTCACCTAATTGTGCTTGCGGGGGTTGAGCTCTGGCTCTTTGGTCCCGCCTCTCAACCGTCAATCAACTGGTGTAGTTTTGTACTGTACTGGTGTGTGTCTGTGTGTGTGTGTGTGTGTGTGTGTGTGCTGAGATAAACTCGAATGCCTGCCTTTTTGTCCATTCAGGATCAAGGTGGATTTTTAACGTGATGTTTGGGCGCCTGTTATACCTTCTGAATGCATGGAACATGATGGATGTTTTATGGAATACCTTCCCGGGTGACGCAATAAATATGAGATCACTCGACTGTTACTACGGGCTCACCATAGCCCGTGCTACTTGGAACTTTTTGTTCCAGGTAGCAAATCTTAAACAACAGCAACGCGACTGTTTCAAGCGGACACCTGATGAATCCTGGTCCCGATATTTAAGTAAGAGGAAACTTAATGACGCCAATACCATCTTGAGGTTATCTTGAGATGATTTCGGGGCGTTTTAGTGTCCCCGCGGCCCGGTCCTCGACCAGGCCTCCACCCCCAGGAAGCAGCCCGTGACAGCTGACTAGCACCCAGGTACCTATTTTACTGCTAGGTAACAGGGGCATAGGGTGAAAGAAACTCTGCCCATTGTTTCTCGCCGGCGGCCGGGATCGAACCCAGGACCACAGGATCACAAGTCCAGCGTGCTGTCCGCTCGGCCGACCGGCCCCCTTTACATTGAGTGTGTGTGTAAATTTTACGGTGTCTACGTAATGTATACGATCACTAAACTTCACTAAAATCGTACGAATACGCTACCAAACATGAGGTGATATAAATGGCTGTGATTGGTGTTCTCTCTATACGTACTGAGTAA